GTTTTCAAGCCTATCTTCATCCCGGTGCTCACCTGCGATCATGAGCCATGCACCATGACCGAAACTTTTTGATCCCGTGCAAAACTGCTGAAATGCGCCGTTGACGCGTGCCTACACAAACTGAAATACAGGTACCCGAGAGCCTTGGTGTAGAACCGGTGTTTCTCCAGATTGAGAAGGCACAGCTGCGATTGTTTTGGCACGTTCTGTGAATGTTTCCAGAAAGGAAGGCTAAACAGCTGCTGCTTACCGAACCGACGGACCGAAGACCTCAGTACGGCCTAGAAAAATCTGTGGCCAGTGTGTGTTTTGTGTGTTGTGTGTGGGGGGGGGGACATTGCTTGAAAGTCTGCCTCCATAGCCTCAAAGGTGAACCACTGGTCGAAATTTTCTCACGGTTCTTTTATTGTGAAGAACTTTGGCAATTTGACTGCGCATACAAAACGGAGTCATGATTAACCGTTTATTCAGTACTCTTTCAGACAATCGCGCATAAGAAACAAACTATTTTACTGAGTACTTGCATAACAGCAAATGCAGCAATGGCCGAATACGACAAGAAATGCTGGTCAGCACAAACCACGAGCATTAGATGAATCTGTAATGCTTTTGCGCTGCAGACGCAGAACAACGTCGCAGACGTTCGAAACAAGTTGGTTATCGGAAATTGCCAGAACCTCAATAATGGCCGGTGGTTCTTTGGAAACAACCACATCTGGGTGTCCCCGGGTCTTGATCGAAGTTCGCATGAAGATAGCAATAGCCACCGGCCTTTCGACCGTTCGTTAGACACTGGCGATGACACCTCACATGCTCTTGCTTGTTGCATGCTTCTAGATTCAGAGTTGACTTATAAGGAAAACATCTACACTGCAAGCTATCGGTATCTACGTGGGAGCAGTGGCCGTATAGCCAATTATCAAGCTTACATAGCTCGTCGCATTCTTCATGGTCACCGACTCGGCAACCAATGACCACCTGCTGCGCGGACGGCGTAGCCATGATGATCAGTATTAACAGGCAGTAGTGAAAAAGGAGCGAGTGACCACGAACGCCATGTTCTAACTGTACCACATGCGCTTCAACATCCAGAAGAATAAATACCATGTTCAGAAGAATAGTAACCGCTGCATACGCCAAAAGCAGCAACCGCCGAGGGTGGGACTCTGTTCGATGTCCATGTGAAGCAACGACGTAGCCGGTGATCTTCAACAGCGCTGTTGAGTAGGACAATGGAGGTCACTAACACCAGCGCAACATCAGGGAATTAAGACAGATCATATTCTTTGCTGTTCTTCTGGACAGGAAGTGGCAGAATGTCACCACAGCGTGGCCCAT